AATATCCCTCTGCTGTCTCTCTGTTTCCCTTTGAAGGTATATTTTCTTTAGCAGGCAGTTGACTTTTCTGCTCAGTACAGGGTCTGGATGGATAGGGCCAGAAGAAGATGGATGGGGGAGGGGGCAGGTGGACACTTAGTGGCACAGGGGACACTTTTCAGGCCTGATCACTCTCAGAAACCATTTACTGGGCAGCTTTAAATCACAGTCAAGAAAGAGGTGCTGCTTCAGTAACTCAGGTATCACAGTCAAGAGAGGTAAATATGCTTTGCGTGTCTGTGTATGCTGTGCTTGAGAGAATCTTTAGTCCAAGGATACTGAGATAGGTTCTGTGGTCTTTGAATCCTACAAAGTTATAGAAAAGTTTTTAGAAAGACAGTACAAAACTTTTGTCAAATTCTCAAAAGTGTCTATGATGCAAATAATCTAAGAACAAAATGCCAGATTTCCAGGCGGGAAAAATGTGTAGAAAATTATAGCTCCATCCTAAAATATAATGGATACTGATGGCTTAAAAGTGACTTGGAGTATTGATTTTGAATCTATTAGATGGTGTTTGATTTTAACTTCTCACCAATTCTCTAGTCATATTATAGTATTTTAGTAATGTACCCATTCTTACTGTTTGGACTCATCAGTTAGTTCTAGTTAATAGTATTTTCACAGGCAAATTTATATAATATATATGTATATAATATATAATATAATATATATAATATAATATATAATATATATATAATATATATCTCGCAGTATCATTGTTTAAAACATTTATTTTCATTGTATTGTAAGAACTACTGATTACTTGATAAACTTTCAGGATTTACCTAACATTTGCAAGACCAAACTCAAAAAAGCTAGCTTAATAGTTTTAAAATGACAGATATGCAAGCCAGACATGGTGGCACATGCCTGCAATCCAAGCATTCGGGAGGCTGAGGTAGGAGGATTGTTGCAAGTTCAAGACCAGCCTGGGCTACAAAGTGAGCTCAAGGCCAGGCTGAACTGCATAGTGAGACCCTGTCTCAAAAAGACAAAAAAATTAAAAATAAATTTTTAAAAAAGATGACAGATATCATAAAAAGCATATTTATATTTCCTTCTCCTTTTAAAAATTACCACCATATATAATAACAAGAACTGAAATGCACATAAACTTTCTCTTTCATGGAACCATAACAGTAAAAGGGAGAAAATGGAGAGAGGATGGTTCATAACTTAGCAGACATGAGCAAGGCCCATCCCAAGTGTCCTCCGGTCTGAGAGGGTGGAAGCCTGGCCACACATAAGAAACAGTGCCCCTCAGAACCTAACAAGGTTCTCAGATGCCACAGAAATGGGACCAGCTGAGCAGTGTGCACCAACCAGAGTATTTCCTAGAGAAACTGAACCCTAGACTTGAGGACACGAGCACCAGCAAAGAGGGTGAAGTACACACTGAAAACAACAACATTAAAGGAAAGTCTACAGCTTTCCAGGTGGGTAGGCATATCTCTCCTTTCTCAATCGTAATCACATCTCTAAGCCACAGGTTAGAGAGTCCAGAAAGAGTGAATTAAGATACTGACATTTGGGGATGTCTTGCAAAAAGCCAGCCGGCCACCTGGTCATCTGTAGTGAGGCCCAGCAACCTAAAGACACTAGCTACATCTACTGTATCTAAATGTCCGTGTAATGTCATTGTTTAGAACACTTATAGTACCATAATAACTACTGATTACTTGGTAAACTTTTCGGATAAATATGCACAGTCTTAAATACACGTACTCTGCCAAAGATTACCAGACATTTAAGGGAAACACGTTGAAAAAAAGGTCTTCAGAGGAAACAGACAATTCAAGGAGGAAGAAAAAACTCAGAAAACACTAAGGATGTTATTAATATCTTCAGAAATATAAGGATAATGCATTCATGGGAGAAGAAGAGTGTGCTACTTAAAAAGGAGCAGAAAAAATGCTTATGATTTAAAAACATGTAGAAGGAGGAAACAACTACATCAGAAAAGGAAAAAAGAAATAAACAAGGACAAGAACAGTAACATAAAAAGTCCAACATTCATCCAATTGAAGTTCCATTCAAATAGCACAAAAAAGATACTAAAGAAAAATAAACAGAGCAAAAAGATTAGAAGAACACCGTACTGAAGAAGTAAAGATTGGGTTCGCTATGCAGATCGAATTGGGAAAAATTCAAAACAAAGTATGTCTTTGTGAAATTGATGAATACCAGAGAAGATTCTAGCTGAAAGAAAACCAAGTAGCACTCAAAGCGCTAGGAATAGCAATGGGATAACTGTATGTGCTTCTCACAGGCAACTCAGGAAGCTCAACAAGGAGCAATCCTTCAAAATTTTTTTTTTTTTTTTTAATTTTAAAAATAAAAGGAGGAAAACATTAACAGACAGACAACATTTTACAAAATAGCAAAAGAACAGTACAGACAGTACGGAGTTACAAACAAAGTGGTAGGGAATTACCAATGCTTGTTGTATTACATACTGATATCTTCAAAGTGGTTTCCCATGAAAACAGATATAGACATGCAATGCTTATTAACCAAGGACTCATTGACAGTTTCTTTCAGCAAAGAAATACAAGACAGTAGAACAGCCATGTTGACTATCCTGCATATACATACATACAAACTTTCTCCTTCTTTCCCTTCTCTTTTCCCACATCCCAGTTGCCCTTTACCTTTGAGTGCTTTCCTATAATTTCACAATGTCTATCATACATCCTAGTTTAATAAAAGTCCTTCAAAATTCTTAAGTGAAACTATTTCAACCTAGGATCGTCGGGCAAACTAGCAAGTACAAAAATAAAGGGGTCTTTTTCAGTTCTGCACAGCCCCGGAACAATCAACCTCCCTGCCCCCACCTCTTGTTAAAAAATGAACACCCTTTCTCATGAAGCCCAGGGCAGGTGTGCTTCTGTAAAAGAAAGGAGAAACTGGGAAAGAAGAAAGGCATGGGATGAGGGAGATAAGCCGCCCCCAGGAGAAGAAAGAGGAAGCCCTGAGGGACGGTCAGGAGGCTCAATCAAGCTCTCCCCAGGACGCAAAGGATCAAATTGAAGATGGCATCCTCTTTAAAGTATTTTAAGAGACATTTTACAGAGAGAGATGTGTAGGGTGTGAGAAGACCTAGAGGTTTGGGCGGACTCCTGAGCCAGGAAGTGAAAGTATTGATGTAAGGAAAGAGACAATGATTGTGCGCCCCTTGGCTCAGCAGCAAGTGGCGTTTACCAGATGAGCATCAGGAAAGCTCTGTGCGTGGGTTATTTTGGGAGGCTGCGCGGGAAGTGCGGGAACGTCACTCTCACCTGCTGCCAGACATCCTCAGACTCTGGCGAAGTCTGCTGGGAGTGTGTCCCTCTCTGCCTCCTGCTACTCTACGGAGCTGTGAGCCCTTGGGCATAGGAGGTGACTGCTCTGTCCCTGGAAATAATAAAGGTCCCTACCTAATAGTAACATTGTAAGAATTTAGTAAGTTAAATAGCAGAAAGCTCTTAGGACAATGGTCAGGTACAGAAGAAGGACTATACAAGTATTTGATGAATAACCAAGTGCTAGTAATGTGTGCATATTCTAAATGTGATGGGAACCTACCGTCTTAGGCTTAAGAAAATGGAAGTAATTGCCTTTGACAATCAGGAAAGGGAAAGGATGAGGGACTACTGGTTTTTGGTTCTAAATCTTTTAGCAGGATTTGACCTTAAAAAAAAAGACTGCAAGTAGTATTTTAACTGAAATAAATTGAACATAGAAATAACAGCAGCCAACTCCAAATTTTAAAATAAGGGCACACACAAAATTTAACAGGACTACTTCCTACTCCCAGACTATTTGTTAACATTTCCATTTGCTATGCAAATGAAACGGTTTATAATTCTAAATGTAGCAGAGGACTCAAGTCAATTTTCAAAAATAAAACGATCACCACAGGATCCTGTTACTCAGTTGTATCTGCAATAAAAGCACAGCCAACTAAAGGATAAAGTTTTCAGCTCACTGAGAGAAGTGTCTTCCATGTATTCATCAGTGAGCATAGATTTGAAGAAAAAACAAACATGAAAAGTGAAGCAATTTGCATCCGCCTCCTGCCCTCTGATAAAGATTTTAATAAGTAATGAAATGGGAGACTTAGTAAAGGAGGAGAACAAGACCTTGGATCAAGAAAATGCATAGACCTTTTCTCCCAGAGGTGTACTTCCTCTTCTATACTAATGAAACAACCAGCAGGAACCAAAGAACCATTGCTTCTGTTGGTTCCATAATTATATAAAACTGCTTCCAAAAGAAATCACACCACACTTATGTGTTCAAAAGCAAATCTACCAGGATCGGAAAAAATAACTGCAAGTAATGGGTATTCCACGCTGTCTTCCTCCTCGGTTACCTAATCCTCTGCCAAATTCTAGTTCCCAAGACACTATGTCAATACCTGTATGAATTTCACCCACCCACCACCCTACTATGAATTAAAGTATTTAAAGAATAACTTATAGAAGGCCATCATGCAACAGTTCAAGGACTTCTAAGAGAGTCCTCTCAATAGAAAGACTTGATTTTCTTTTGCCCGCTTTTATTTCGGTGGCATCTGGTGGATACAGCATTCGGCTCAAAATTCAGTCCCTTCTAATTCCCCATACAATATTCATCATTAAAATGCACAACAGCAAAACACACTTTGCTCTGGGCCCTTGCCAGACTCTCACTGGATCGGGATGTACAGCCTCCGCTTTGAAAAAGAGAACAAAACAATCTGAACTCTGTCCTGATGTGGCAGCGTGGACCAACTGTGACAGCCGGCTAATTCATCACTGTGGGGACCTTCGGCTGTGCCACTGACCGCTCAACTTACTGTCATCCAAGATGGTGGCAGTTAATCATTTCCTTAAGTGATGTGGGTATGAAAGCAGGGCTGATTGCTGCTTAGCTGCTAACCTTATCCATCCTTCCTGCCCCCACAGTGACTGTTGCCATTTCCCCCTTCTTCCTAGACTGCTGGGTTTCAAGAGATTCTGACGGAGGTGGAAATTTTAGCAGTGATTGTGGGATGCCTATGTCACGACCTCGACCACAGGGGAACTAACAATGCCTTCCAAGCTAAGTAAGTGTTCCAGTTGTTGTTATTTTAATGCATTTGCCTTTCTGTTCAAAGCCAAAGGTGACGCACGCTAAAGAGTAAAGCATTAATTTCTGGCAGTGGAGGCCAAGGCCATGCAGGCGTGGGTGTGCATGTCATGGGGCCCATCCATCTTTATAATTTCCTATTCTTCTTTTAATTGCAAATTTGCCCTTCATGTCATGCTTGTTGATTTGGTCTGTCTCAGTTGACCTCAGTCAGATGACAAAGCTCAGGGCCTATATTTTCCTATATTTTCCTCCCAGAATATTTGCCTTCATGGCCTAAGGAGCTTTGGGAGCCTACTGCTTTCAAATCTGGTTTAGAGACCACTCCAGTAAAAGCAGTCTTGGATTTTTGATAAGCAAAATATGTCTTCCGAGATTCTATTGATGATGGGTAGTATATGAACTGGAGTAAGGTAAAGCCACAGATAGGGACCTAGTATCTCTCATTCCTACTCCCATGGAAAGGTGGAAAGCAGGTAAAAGAATTCCATAGGGGCTGGCATATAGCTCAATGGTGCAGAGCCTGCCTGGCAAGCACAAGGTCCTGAGTTCAATTCCCGGTACCAAAAATACATAATAAATAAATAAATACAAACAATTTCGGAAATACAGGGACTTATGAAATAGGAACTATGTGTCCTGCACGGAATGCATGAATAGAACAATCTGTCTCCAAGCAAGTTATACTGGTCAAGATTACCACTGCCTCATGGCTAAGGCCACAGAACTCGGGGATACTGGAAATACAACCAAATCTCAGCTCTCTGGACACTTTATATTGAGGGTCCCATTCTAATGTTCTTTTTACTACCTATCTTCAAACAAAATGATACCAGAGGTCTGAGGATGGAAAGAAAAGTTGTAAGGTGTGAAAGTGAGAGAAGGCTTCAATAAGGACATGAGATTAACTTTGAGATAATTGATTGCTAAGTGGCCAGAACAAGTCAGCCTGTGTTATCAGAAATTTCAACAGCCTGCATGCTAACAGGTTTCCCTCAGCTTCACTTTCTGTTCCCCAAACACCTACCCATTGAGACAGTGGAGCCCTAACCCTTGCATCTCCTATTCTAGCAAACAAATTTTGGTTTTGTGTCTTCTTCTGTCTGCCTGCATCCTATAGTATGCACCTCTTCACCCTTCTCTTCTCAGTGTCCAATGCTTTCTCGACATTCTTAAGTTTCTGTGACATTTGTTCTGCAAAAACTCAGCACTAGCTCAGTCTAACAATTCAATTTCTTGCTCCTCTGCCTAGACTAGTAAAGGCTGTGGGAGAAGATGTCACAGTTGCGAGAGTTTGAGTCACATCAAATATATATTCTTCCAACTCGGCTGAGTGCTCAGTACTCCCTACCAGTCTCTCTGCGTCCCCAGCCAGCTCTGCCCCGCAGGCATTTACAGACGCCAGATCTTCTCCCTTCCTAGCCCACCTCCTCCCACACCATCAGCAGATCACCTTGCCTCCCACTTCACTGAGAAAATTGAGGCCATCAATCGAGAACACTCTCAATTTCCTCCCCTGCCACCTACAAACTTATCTGTCTGTCCCCGTCCTTTCCTCCTCCCCTCCTATCTCAGCAGAAGCGCTGTCCTTCCCTGTCAGAGGCCAGTCCCCCCACCTCTGCTTTGGATCTCTTCCTTGCTCTCTCCCTCGGGACCTTATGCCATCAATCTCCCTCTCTCTGTGCTCTGTCTACCGGCCCCTTTCTCCTGGTGTTCTGCATCCTATTAATGTCAGCAGTCCTCCCTCATCTTGCAGACTCCACTCTGTCACACTTCTCTCCCCAGCTTCTGCTGTACTTCCTTCAGCCCTTCCGGGTGAAGCTTCCTGGAGTGTTGTTTGGGTTGGCTGTCTTCACTACCTTGCACGTGGCTTCCAGTATTTTCGTACCGGAGAAACTATGCTTGGTGATGTCACCAATGGCCCTTCTCTCAAAGCTGTTGGACTTTTTGTCATCCTCTTTTCTTTACTCTTCTTGTCGTGGGAAGTATTTTCTCATTCCCTCCTTCGCACCTCTCTTCCTTTTTTTCTAACAAAGGATTTTCATCTTCAGGCTCTATAGCCTTCCTGCTCCATTACTTCGAGGCCTCTCCTGCTGCCTGGCCTTCACTGCTGATGTCTCTCGTTTGTCTCCTGCTCTTCCTGGCCCTTCTTATGGGGCCTCCATCCACCTGCTCATGAGCCCCAAATCCATTTCTTTGAATCATAATTTGCAGCTCATTTCCAGGCACTTATCCCAGCTGCTTAAGGGATTCCTCCCCTCAGAAATCGCACATGCGTCTCATTCTCTTTCCTACATGCTTATCCCTGTCTCGGTTCTCCCTCCCAGTGTATGGACCCAACCAAACTCTGCAGGTCTCTCGGACTCCCTCAGGCTCCCCTCAGGTGAGCTCCTCCTCTGCCTTCTTATGACGATGGTTTCTTTGCATCTCTCTTGGATCGGTCACAAACAGCTCAATGCTCCTTCACCCTGGGCACTCCAGAATACGCTTTGGAATTCACAAAGCCACTCAGGTCATTTCCCTTGTCTTTTTTTTATGCCTGCATAATGCACAGCTAGCCCTTTGCAAAAATGTACTTTTCGCTTCATTGCAATTGCTGGCTTTTAATTGCAAAAAAAGAAAAAAATGAAGTACCACCATCTTTTTTAACGAAACAAAGAGGTTTGGTTAAATGGTACTGGGAATGCTGAGGGAGTTCAAGTATCACAAGTGTGGCCAAGTCTCCTGGGAACAGGGGCAGCCAAGGGGAGAACTTGGGACCAAATCTGCTTTTTCTGTCTTTCTCTTGGGTTACACAGTCCTTCCTTTTGGCTTCTCTCTGATTCCCAGCCTTATTCTTTCCTTTCAATAAACTGGCCATTCTGGGTTTTTTTATCCGTTTAGGATATGGTCATATAACTTTCCTAAAATGGCAGCTCCTCCTCTCAAGTCTATGTGGACCTGCAGCTAGAAGATTCAATATCACAGTAGTCCAATTCCACAAACCTGGGAGTTGAGATCTGATTGGTCCAATTTCATTAGGTGTACACTCTTGGTCCAGACAGCTGAGGAGTGAACTGGCAAGAACTGTGTCCCATGCGGCACACAGGCACTGTTGCTGGGAAGAGGCCACTGCTATTCAGTATCACCAGTGTACATTTCACCCTTAAAAACAACCCACAGGGTGCTCGCTCTTGGCTTACAGACACAATCTAGTCCGTTTATCTCTTCTCCAGGCATAAGTGGTAAAATGGTGAGGGACAATAGGGAGAATGATGAAGGGAGGTACACTGACAATGGTCTCACTGAAGTAGAAGAGACAGGAATCCTAAAAAAATAAGTGGACAGATAAAGACTTATCATAAGGAACTCACAGACCCTGTAATGAAAGCCTGTGTGGTTTATAATTCAGGGGACTTTACTTTTTAGGACAGCCTCAAAGCTATGTGTAGAAAGGCGATGTTTTACCATAACCTATAAAATGTTACACCTATTTAACAAATGAGGAAAATCTATTGGAAAGATATATATATGAAAATAAGATAAAATTGCATTCATTCATTCAGTAGACATTACTGTGTGTTTACTATGTTCCTGGCAGTCTTTAGTTGCAGCTACTAATGAAAAGGGAGAGACACCTATTGTTAGATAAACTAACAATCCCAGACACAATGAAAACTATAATTTTATTCTTTGCTGTCTCTTAAGCCACCTCCAATTTTTCTATAGATATTTTTGTCTGCATTTTACAGAAAGAACAGAGCCTCAGGGAGGCAGCCTGTGGTAGAGCAGAGTTTGGACCTGTGCCATCTGATTCCAAAAGCCATTCTTTAATCGCTATATCATACTCTCTTCCATGACTTTGTGACACCTATTTTGAACCTTTGAGCTTCCGGTTTATTGGCTGTCTTGCCAGATATGTGAGCTCTGGAAAACTAACATATATTTTGACAGTTCAAGATGTGTAGCCATAAAAATAGCAGAACTGTATTAAACCTTAATAGTTATATTTTTCAATGTCTTAATTTTACAAACATGAGAACTGAGATTCCCCAAATCTCACGTCATTTGTATAACACTAAATAACTTCCATACATATTAAACATTAATTAAGTCATTGATACTAAATCTCATTTTCTTTTTGCATCTTCATGTGACAATCAAATCAGCCTGCTCCAAGATGACACTATGTGGTTCCTCAAGATGACTAACCTTCTGCACATTTCACCAGCTCATGAGATGTCAGCAGCCCTGCATGTACCTAATGGAGTCACTTTTGAACTTAGGACACTTAATGCCAGTACTACCTAACCTAAGATTTCCTTTGACAATAAATCCTGAAAGAGACTTTTTTATATCATGGTAAAGGAACTTATTTTTATTGATTGGAGTAAGATTTGTTCAGTCAGTGTACCATTGTTTAGAAAGTCCCTATGAAGAAACTATACCCTTTTCTGCTTTTTTATTCTCGGTAATTGAGTGAGTGGTTCCTATGTTCAAGGCCCTGTGCTAAGCATTGTGGGAGAAATCAAGAAGTATAGCAAACAATCCTTTCTATTGAAGTATTCACTGTCTACTTCCACCCTTTCAAGTGATTTGGAGATGGAATTTAAATGCACCAATTACTATGTGGCAAATCATATGCTACCTTTTTTCATACATAAAGCTATAAAGAAACAGAAGACATTTAGTAAGGGACAAATTACTATATAAAATGCAAAATGCCTGTACAATAAAAAGTGTGACTTTAGTAGAGCACAATTTGATTTATACTCTTAGCCTTTCTGATAAGTGAACCTTTGCATTTTCATATTTTATTCTTAATTTTTAAGTATTGGAGCGTGTGCAGGGAATGATCCGTAAGTAGAGAGGGCCGCAGTACCAGTGTTTTAAAATTGCTCATTCACACCTCTCCCCTGTTGTCTCCAGGGACAGGGTTTCCCACTCATCCCCTTCTCTATTACGGCTGCCCCTGATGATTAAATATCAGCACAGAGCAGCTTTGTAGTATATTCTCCAAGGAGACTTCTTCTATTCATTTCTAGCATAATCTCTTATACTCATTTCTTGGGAATGAAAACCCATCTTGTCGCTTTCGGCCAGGTCCCAGAAGTGAAATATTGGGGCACATTAATCTGCCGTGACAGCCTAATCCCATTCCTCACCACCTCCCAGCAATTCTCCATTTCCTAATTACCTCTCGTAGTTTTCCTTTTTAAAGTTTCCGTTAACCCATGGTTGTACACTGCCATGAAGTCTTTTTTCCCAAAGAATTTGCATATCTAGGGAAGTTAGGAAGGTACATTTCAATCTGTGTGCTGATTCTTGCACCAGGAGCTATGCCTGCGCAAAGCACAGAATACCTGCTGAAATAAAATTTCACTCTGACTTTTCTTCTTAATAAGGTTCTCCTCAGTACATCACCTGTTCAAAAATGAAAAACTTTAGTATTTGGGATGATTGATCAGTAATGTTCATCACGAACACCTATATATAAATGTACTAGGTGTCCTCTCCCCATACACACGCTATCTATATAGAGTCACATTTTTACACCACAGTGTCCGTGCCATTTACCTGATGCATATATGAACTACAGACAATTAAAATGAGGTGTGGTATTAAAATCACTACTTTCCATATGTGATTAGTTTTCTGTGATTTGGTTTTGGTGGTTTTCTTTTCATATTTTATATAAAAAAGCAGAAGTATATCTTTACATAAACTATATTACACAAAATACATTGGCTCTTTAAAAAAATAGTTTTGTGGTCAGTTAAGAGTGAATAATGCTTCATAGTTTGTCCCCCTCCTACAGCATTACAATGCACATTTGCACATATTAAAGCCTCTGGAAAATCTTACAATAAAGCAAGAGTTTAAAATTTTAAAGACAGAATTTCTTAAACTTGTTTGACCAGGGAACCCTTTGAATTTCTACTCTTTATGCCTCTTGGCATTCCAAGGGACCAGTGTTCTATAGAATACTTTTCAATAAAGCTTATCCTACCAGAGAGGCTTTACTTTTTCCTAATTGTGTCCAGAATTATGGCTGTGGGTTTTGCTCCTTCCTGGTAGACCTAGAAAGCTCAGAGTACACAATGGTGGGTACAAGCAGCCCTCACAGTGAGCCCTGGCTAGACACAGAAGTCACCAACAGATTTGAACATCTCAGAAATTGAGGCAGGAACAAAACACTAGTGTAAACAAGGGATCCATCTAGAAATAAAAATGCTCTTGTTTAAGTGGTTTCACTGTGGAAAACTTGGGTAAGCAACACACTCCTTTCTCTGGATGACCACAGTAGCACCTAGCCTGTAGAAAGGTAAGCATTTTTAATGTAAGACTGGTCAGAAAAAATCCCCAACACAATTATAGGGGACTGTGCACTTCCTGCAAATAAGACCATATCTCAGGTATCTGTCTTCCACATGGGTCTGGCATATGCACATCAATGCTTGGTGGTTGGATTGAATGAATGACCGATGAATGAATGGATGGATCGCAATGTCTTCCTGCACTTTCATAGCATTAGCCTGCTTCAGTTGCAAAACCTGCCCATTTTCTATGATGAAAACAGTATTGTGTGAGGGCAGGCAGAATGTAGGATGGAATTAGTGAAGGGAACAAAGAGGGAATCTGATGAGGAAGCCGCTCAAGCCATGGACAGCCACATGGCTGCTTTCGCAACAAACTCCGTGAGTCCTGAGGAAGCACAACCTGAGGGGACAGACAGAAGCTGGCAAGAGAAGCACCGCAGTGCTTGTTATAAGGCATCCTCTGGTTAAAGGAAGAAAAATCTCCTTTTTCGTCCTGAACAAAGAAAATTTAAAGTGGCTTGTGATCATCTAACTGATTTAACTTTCACTAAACCAGTGTGGACCAAGGAAGAGCTAACATTTTTCCATCTTGACCCTTCAGACTCTCATCAGTGACTGTTTCAGGATTCACAGCAGTGAGTGAGCTGTATGTGAGCGTGGCTGGTAAGCAGAGGAGAATCACAGGAATCTGAGCCTGGGGGTAGCAGTTACACTAGCAGAATTCTGAATCAAATTTTGAAAGCTTCTTTCACTGCTGACAACCAGCTTGGTAAAAATGGAGAATCAAATATCAGAAATGTTTGTTATAATTATCATTCTTATGGTGTAATACAAGAAGCTTTAAAACTTGAATTTAAATCTAGATTGAGCCAGGCGTGGTGTTGCAGGCCTGTAATCCCAGCACTCAGGAGGCTGAGGCAGGAGGATTCTTGTGAGTCTAAGGCTAGCCTGGGCTACAAAGTGAGCTCAAAGCCAACCTGAACTGCATAGCGAGACCCTGTCTCAAAAAAAGACAATCAATCAATCAATCAATCAATCAATAAATCTAGATTGATACTAGCTGGCTGTATGATCTTAGAAAAGTTATACAACTTCTCTGAGCCTTCATTTCCTGGTATGTAAAATGAGAAAATAATACTACCTATTTTATAGTCATCAGGACTACCTATTTTCATGTCATCAGGACTGCATGAAATAGCACACTAAGTGGCCAATGTGTTTCTTAGTGTATGGTAGGCTTTTACCAATGGTAGCTACTATTATTAATAACATTATTACTATAAAATAGGCCAGCGCACTTATTACTGTCAACCTTCCGATTTTAACTATAATCTCCAGACATATCATGAGAAGCTTATTCTCCAAACAACTAATATTTTTAAAAACATCTGCTCCATGTCAGGTACTCAGAATTTCAGTAGCCAAAGCACAGTGTGCATTTTGAAACATGCATTTTCATGGAAGTGAATTCTATGTAAGACATATAGTTATTAGCATTAAATCACTGAGGTTGACCTGGCACATTTTTACTTATTAGCTGATATTAGGTGAGGCATGATTTAAAGAAATGGCACTAATGAAATTCTAGTGCCTTCCTTACTCACCTTCATCACTGTAATCTCTAATAACCCTCATCAGCTTTTCTATCTCTTCAGTATGCAATGAGCTCTGGGTCTTCCCAAGGATTGCAATACTCTACCCCAGAGGCTAGCTATGGTCTTGGGCTGCCTCACACTGGAGAGGAAGAGAAACTTGGGACAAAAATTATTCACAGTAAATAAAAAAAAAATTTTCACAGTGCATTTACATCTAGTCTTTCCCCATCTTGCTAGTAGGACAGGCTGTGAGCTATCAAGCTCCAGCATTTCCACTTGAAGGCCAAATTGTCCTTTCCACATCCTGACCCCCCTGCAATAACCAAGAGAACACAAGGACCCAGATAAAGTCCTCAGCCTGAGTCCCAGGGTTTAATCTACGGGATTCCCTAATCTTCAGAAAGGGAGTTGGAAATGAATGTGCTTGAACATTTTAAATCAGCACTTTAATGGCCTGACATTGTTGAGAGATGGGCTGTTCTATGTAAACAGAATTTTTAGTAACTGAAAGAACTCCCACCATGTATCTATTAATGTCCTATTGATTTGAAATGGAAGTATTCATATGTGTCTTGATTATCAATTAATAATTGATGTAGACTGAAATCTACACCATGCCAGGCACTGTGGTACATAGTTTAAAATATTTTTATAGTAGTCTCATTAGGAATAGGCAAAGTATATAGTACTGTCATGCTATTACAGATAAAGAAGCCAAGCCTTACAGAAGCCAAGGAACTGTTCAAAGCTGCTGAGTAGCAGCAGTATTGAAACTCAACTCCAAGTCCAGGGAACACTGCAGAGTTCTACAGGAGTTAGCACAGTGTGGCTGTGGGCTGGGGAACCTAAGAGAAAGTTGTCAACTTATGTAAAATATATAAAGTAGATTCTTCAGAGTATTCATAAGGTCTTTTCCTATAAAAGCATCAAATGCATTTGGTATAAGAGTGCTCTGGACATTCAGAAGACATGAGGTTTAATTTATGACAATTATACTGACACTCACAACCAGAAATTATCTTATTCACCCCACAGCAACTAGATTGAACCAGAAACACTATTTTACAATGCATTAGTATTTATGTTGTTATGTATGTAATTTTTTTCTCTTATTCTTATATCTCATCTTTCTTAATGGTCTGTAAACTTCATATGGGCAAGGACTGTGCCTTGAAAGATACTTCAGTTGTCACTCGTAGGAAAAGAAGTTCAGTCCATAGTAGATGTGGGGCTTGCTCAGGTGAAGGTCCTGCTCACTTTCCTTTATCCTTTTTCAGGAGTGGCTCCGCACTTGCCCAACTCTATGGGACCTCAGCGACCTTAGAACATCACCATTTTAACCATGCTGTGATGATCCTTCAAAGTGAGGTACAGCTTACTCTATAACTCCCCTTGCTGGAAGACCAGCTGTCTGGTTCCTACCTCTCTTTCTTTATAGTTCCATGGGAAGATATGGAGAAATAGGAAGAACAAGTTTAAGTCAAGCTACTGGATCTTGGTAGCTTTTATGAATATTTTCAATGCCTCACCCAGAACCGGGCTCAAATTATTTCTGAGGTGACTCATCTGGGTTCATTCAATGACATGGTTCATTTGGAGGCTTCACTCTCGGGGTAACAGGTATACAGTGCCTACTACCACAGTTCCGTCTGGCCTTCCTGAGGCACACAGAAGCTCACTGTTATGGCTGATACGCTGTGTCAACTTGAGAAGTCTAGAAGCTCAACTGAGTAACTCAGCAGTTCTACATCCTAGGGTATAGAGGACATGCCCTTACCCCTCTAGGATGTTGTTCATTGTGTCAACCTCAAAAGTTTAGAAGTTTAACTAAGTGACTCAGCAGGGGCTCAGGGTCCTCACTTTGTAAACATCCTCATCCTGTGCAAGAGGAGGGCAGGGAGATAATGTGAGTGCTATGTCCACCTGAGGGCGGGTAGCCTGCATACAATACAAGGGAAGAAAAGAGGCTTGCTCTCCCCACACCAATTTGCTCTTGTTGCTTTTGCTGTCTTCTGCCACTTTGAACTTTTGCCCCTCTGCCATGCCACCCTGCCTTGGAGCCAGCTCATTATGGAATGAAACCTCTACAAACTGTGAACTAAATAAACTTTTTCCTCTTTAACTTTGAATGTCAATTATTTTGTCCCAGCAACAAGAGAAAAGCAACTAAGACACTCACTAAGGGAGTGACTTGATTCAAATACTGAGGGGCCCAACATTCCCATTTTTGTGAACCCCAAAGCCATTCTAAAAGACGGTAGAAGCGAAAACCTGGTGAGAAAGTTATACTTTATTAGCACAATAGAGAAATCTATAAAAGAACTTAAAATTGCTGGTGGGACCAGTTGTAAAGTTTGAACTGCAGCTAAAGCTAAGACCCAGGGCTAAGGCCATATGCCTTATTTTGCTTCCTGTGGCAATGCAGGAGTTAGAAGTAGTTCGGTTTTATACTTTTAGTTTTCTGCAGAGAAAAACAGAAACGACTAACCGACTCTGGCTGAGGCATCTGAGTTTTAAATTGCCAGAAAAGGATCTGTTTAATTTTCTGCAGGCGTACAGGCTTTTTTTTTCAAGGCCAAGAAGGGATCATCTGTTCCCCATTATTTGTCAGTTCTCTAACTGTGCCATTAATTATTATTATTATCATCATTAAGGCCCTGCTTCACTGGAATAGCATCATTAAATATGGAGGTTTTTTTCCTCCAGCCTATGTTGAGAAAGCTTTTGCAATATCATGAAAGCCTTCGACCCCATAAAAGATAGTCACCTCTTCAGAACCCAAATGCAGGCAGGGCAGGGCAAGCCTGCTAGGGGAGATGTATTTTCAGTGGTGAATGAAACACTCAGGGTTAGGCTTTCAGTCGCTGACAGAAGCCAGCCTCCTGGCATCTGTGGCTCTGGAATTTTCCTGCGAAAAGCAGTGCTTTGACTGAGCTCTGTGGAAGAGAACAGGAGAGAAAGGAAACACTTGGGTTCAGACTGTCCTTGTTGTGATGGCAAATGTGACGAGTTTATACCTCTGATCCCAGAAAGCCCCACCGTTGTCACAACAAGGATTATGAACAAGATGTCAGATTTCCTCAGGGAAACAACCCCCAGGCCTTTGACTTTGTGTCCACAGGGGCATAACATATAGGCCCCCTTTGCTCTGGGCTCTTAGGAGTAACAGAGAGGCCAATAATAGTGGAACCATGCACTCTGCACCTCCCGTGATGCCCAGGGAAGAAAGGCTACAGGGTCTGAGGAAGGTTGCCCCAGACCTTTCCTGTCCACATTTGCCATTCTTTTCATCATTCCCACACTTCCTCCTTACCTAAATAGCCATAGAAACAGAACTGCAGGGAGACTCAACTTTACTTTAGGGGACCAAATCTTGAGACACAGTACAATGCCAGTCTGCGTGCAAACAATATACAAACGTAATGTACTGATGCATACTAACTTTCTTTAAAAATTAAAGCAGATCTCGCTAACTCTGTGAGTCTGCTCACTGGAAATGGTGTTGGCTACTGACATCCTCTAAGTGTAGAAAACATATGCCCTGGCAAAATAAGCAAGTTCAAATCAGTTTTCTCTTTGCCTGAACATTAACTTTTATGTCACTTGCAATGCTAGGTGTGTGTCGGGATCTAAGCTGATTATTCTTCTGTAATTTCTGGTCCCTGTTTGAAGGTGTCAGAATACCTACTCAAGACTGATCTGTGGGGCAATAATCAAGCCGAGAGACCTGGGCAGGATTATGGTGCAGCATTCCTTTAGTTGTTTGTCTTCTTAATGGCTGAATTAAGGGTCTGGAAGAGTCCATTTGAAAATTATTATTACTATTGGACTTGGTCCCAGGTGGAACCAATATACTCTCATCTTTAAGGAATGGTGGGTTCACCCAGTAAGATAAATTAACTCAGGGGAGCAGATTATCATCGGGAGCCAGGTAAGAGAATTTACTAATTGATATCTCTGGCTCCTTGAAAGAATTAATTGACCCCTCAATGGAGAGCAGTTTAGTCTCAGGCAGTCATTTGTACCTTCTCCATTTTCTGACTCTCAACACTTAGTTTTAAAAGGTCCATTTTGCAGGCCACATGCTTATAAGTTCATACTTCACGCTAAGCAAATCTGACTTTTAAAGCACAGTAAGTGAATTGTTGATCATGTCACAGAAGGATTTCCACTTTACTCCAAACAAATAGTGCAGCTGCCTAGGGAAGCTCAAATTTTGATGAAAAGAAGTACGTTTTTCACCAGTTTGGACAAAAAGCTTCAATTGCAATTTTACACAGGTAAAACTAAATTTTTCTATGCCAAGGATAATAATGTCTCATACACCCTAGCTAGTCAATAATTATTCACCACACTAAATTTAATCTACCACTTGCTTCATCAAAGTTTATCCAAACAATTTGATGTGCAGTCTCGCAACTTCAGTAGCACTGACAAGTTAGGCCAGGGAGACTTTTGGGTTGCTATTGTTTGGCTGTTTTGGTTTTCTGAGAAAGATCTTGTTATGTAGTCCAGACTGGCCATAAACTCAGGAGATCCTCTTGTCTCAGCCCCTGAATGCTGGGATTACAGACATGTACCACCACACGTGGCCCGGGGAGATCGTTTGGAAGGACTCTCCTATGTGTTGTAGGATGTTTACCAGCATCCCAAGACTCTCCCATTAAATGCAATAATATCCCCACCCAATTGTGAGCATCATAAATATCTCCAGATATAGCTGTAAGTTCCCACTGTCAAAATCTTCCCCACTTGAGAACCACTAGTCTAATAGCTTTTTCTCTTTTAAGTCACTTGTTACCATTATAAGTATTTCCAAAACGTTATTTAGACCTATAGTACTGCAACTGCTATTTATGTTAGGGTCACAAAGATTCCCAAATGTTTTGCCAACTTCTCCACTGCCTACTTCCATAGAAATGGGCGGCCAAGTGCTGCTGTTGGCACAAATATTCATAATAAGACAAGTTCAAACATTCTCAGAGTTTTTCCTTTGACAATAAGCACGTAATAAATTGTTCCTCAGTGGACCTCCTCAAAAATGATTCACTTCATGGCTTTGTTATGTTTGCCAGGCAATTTATTTGTATTTGTGCAAAATTTTATTAAGCTTTTTAAAAATGATTATCATGTTCTCAGATCTTTAATTTTCAATAGAGAGGGAAAAAAACCCATGTGATCAACAGCCACAGATTTAATGATGCCTTTTGTGACTTTTTACTTTCTTATTACAGGGTCACAACATCTTTGCTAATTTGTCCTCCAAGGAATATAGTGACCTTATGCAGCTTTTGAAGCAGTCAATATTAGCAACAGACCTCACGCTGTACTTTGAGTAGGTATTGGCTTTTGATCTATTTGACAAATGGATATCTAAAGTTCCATCTTATAATTAATTTTCTGGTTCATATTGGCGGTTGCCTGTTATTCTAGCGTTGATATAAATATGTAAAAGGGCTAAAAATTTTTAATGGCATTTCTCCCTTATGTAAATGAAGTTCTTTAAGATAGTGTGTATAAGCAATGAGATGAGGGGTTATAGTGGCAAGCTTTCTATGTCTCTTCTGTTTTGTGAACCTTGTTTGTAACTCTTGATTCTGAAACTAAGTTATGGCCATTTTTATTTTAGATACTGCCTAAGATTTCTATTTTCAACTGGTATTTCTGATCTAATCAGTAATGATATTGATATGGTGATTGTGATGATGCTGATACAGTGATAATGATGATCTTTGATGGAAAGTTGACGAGAAATTTAAGCTTTCATTCCTTGCTTCTCCTCTGTTTTTATTTCTTAGAAAACCCATTCCTCATTTTCCCAAAGTACAGACCTCTCAGAGCAAAGAATTCTATCCCTCCAATCCCAGTGGGACCTGCTCTGTCAGGTCCCAACTCTTTTGGTGACTTGGGAATTTCTCCCTTTGCTTCCATTGATATACACAGTTCTCTCCTATCTTAAAGCCTAAGCAACTTCTCTCTCTTATTTCACAGACTTCATGGAGATGTTTAACTGCTTCTGCACTTGGCTTTATTCTACTGATTTTAAACAAAAAGAGTCCATTTGTTCTTGTGCTTTCTTTAAATTCCATTTACACTTTGAGGAGTGGTCACCAAGGATTTCTAATATTTTCTAGTTTTGTTTGAGATATCTGGAAGATTATTGGCTTCTCTTTGTCAATTTCTATTTTGCTTCCCCAATACCCGATTTTCTTTCCCTCTCCTTTTCTAGGTCTTTTGTCTCCTTTTTCCTGCCTACCAGTTCTTGAACCTAAGTTCTTCTCTCTGTCCTCAAATTTTCTCTCCAGCTTCACTTCTGTATTCTCTTGACATGGGTTTTTACTATACGTAGAAGACTGAAATTCTTCACTTTAACTCTCCCCAAACTTTGTGCACCTGTATCTCGAGTTTCCATCTCAAAAATCTTCAGTGTCTTCATTGATTTCTAAGAAAGCTGTAACTTTTGTTTGATTTTCATTTCCCCCCCATAATCTGCCCCAATCTGTTTTCATTCCTGTCTTCCTCTTCTCCCCCACAGGATTTGTTTTCTTCAGTGAGACTGGTTTACATACCACCCTTTGAAGCATTGCGCGTAGTGTCCCTTGTGGCCCAATCATACCACTGTTCTGTGTGGGACCCTATCCTCCACTTCCACAACTAGTTGAGAGGGCCATCCTTTAGGTTTTACTTCTTGTTCCACTCTTTGTAGGAAATCTTGTGTCAATCCCTTTGTCATATTACTGGACTTGGGCAATGCATCAATTAGAATTAGGCTCAATTGTGAGACAGAAAGCTTTGCACAACAGTGACTTACTTCTCTGTTGCGTAAAAGAAATCTAGACATCAGCAGTCTGAAATTGGTACAGTAGCAGTATGAAACCTTCAGAGACCCAGGATCCTGCTAACTTTATTAATGCCACCTTCAATACATATTTTCCAACTCTTAGTCCAAGATAGTTGCTCAAGCTCCAGCCATAATGTTTACATTCCAGCCAGAAGGAAAGGACAAAGGAAAAAAAACAGGAAAGGTGATGCAAGCTATCCTCTATGAGAGTTTTTTGGAAGTTGCCACTTAACACTTCCACTTACATTCCAGTAGTCAGAATTTAGTCACCTGACCATATCTACCATCAGGGAAAGTCAAGAAACTCTTATTCTTGTGTAGCCATGTGTCCAGATAAAAATCAGGAATTCTACTACTAAAGAAGGAAGAAGGCAGGATGCGGGGCTACACCTGGCTCTCTATACCCCCAGCTTTGTTGTGGGGGTCTGTGAAGGGGTTAGTATATGGTACGGTGGGAGGAGTTAGACTGGACTAGCTTTTGGTCTCACTCTGGCATTGTAGTTTAACCTGGTGAATTGAGCCCAAGTGTCTGCACCTTCTCCCTCTTAAAATTCCTCAGAGTGATACTAAATAAATTTAAAAGAAAAAAGGCCTAAGCCTGCAAGGAGAAAAAGAGAGGGCGCACAAGGGACAAGGGCTGCCAGCACATTTGTGCAAATGAAAGGCAGACCAATGAGTGGTAGGTGACAAGCAGAGTAGAAATAAAAGTCATGACCCACAGAGGACAGCGCAGAGAAGAGCAGGCCAGTTGTTCTGCGCAACCTTGCTTAGGGCATAGAGACCAAAAAAAGTACTATGAAAGGTGGACGTGACTCTCAAAGCTGAAGGCAGAACTTGCCAGCACGTGGGTTTGCAGAGCCCCATGAAGTCCTCAATCAAGATGGCCAGGTCAGCCCCTTTTCCTTTACCCCTGCAGAAGACCAGAGGTTCACTCTATAGAGGAATGGAAAGAAGGACTCTGGACTAAGGAGAAATACAGGGTGGGAATAAGATGTCATGCTCACAGGAGGAGATTCAGTGTGGTAGGGGATTCAGAAAGATGCCTCTAATTGAAAACTCATCGTCTAGAGCGTGTCATGCAGAAAGGAAGGAGCTGTCAGATTTAACAAGTAGAAACACAGAAGGCCCAGGTAAATTTTAAATTTCTGCAGAACAATAAATACTTATTTTAGAACACCTACACACATGCCCGTGCCCCACACATGCATCCCATAAAATATTTGAGATATATGTGCCTTAAAAATGTTTTCTCTGAAACTCAAGTTTAACTGGGCTTTCTTTCTTTTAGGTTTATATAACAATCCACCTCCTCAACATGTGCACATTGCACACACACATGCACGCACACCCCTGCTAGTCAGCCTTTTAATGCTTTAATTCCTTACTATTATATACAAACAGACACCCAAACATCACAGATCGTTTTATAAGCCTCAAGTATGACAAACAGGGGCCAAATCTGCTGCTATCCTTGCAAAACTAAGATATTGCTTCCATTACAAAAGAATAGGATACTTTTAAACTGATGATAGAAGCAACCATGAAGAAGAAAGAGATCTTGAAAATTAAAACATTCTTGCCAGAATAAAAAGCAAAACAAAAGCAATGGGAAATACATTCAATGGACAAAAGGCAGCAAGATGGAAACAGTGCTGATTGTAATTTCATTATATGTCTCTTAGTGATTCTAATTTGTTAATTATATGTATTGTTTGGATAAATATAAATTTTAATTAATATAAGATATATGCTTAAACACTAAAAACCTCAGCTCTGCTGCTACCTAGCTGTGTATCATCAGTCAAATTACCTATCTCTCTGAGTCTCTTCATGTGTAAAGTGGAAATAAGACCTTATGTGTCCTGTAAGTAGAAATACCTACAACCTCATTTGCTTTAGAGCCTATGTATTTTGCACATTTTGTGGCCCTCGAGTTGACTTAACTACTGTGACCTTTCATCTTTCTCTCGATTGATATCCCTTCATTTGGAACTTGTAGAAAGCCTGTGTCCTTTTAATATTTTTATTTTTATTTATTGTTTTTGATACTGGAACGATTTTGTGTTAGTTTTCCCCAAGTAGAAATGTTCTCCCAAGCTGATTTTCGAGTAACTTTTGTGCACACGTGTGTGTGCATGTGCGTGCATGTGTGTTACTGGGTATGGAATCCAGGGCCTTTGCATTGAGCTACATCATCAGCCCTTTTCATTTTATTTCATTTTATTTTATTTTGAGGTAGGATCTCACTAAATTGCTAAGTTCTAAGTAACTTTGAAAGAGAAAAAAAGTCTCAGCACTTGGAGTCTATTTATCAAGCCCTGCTAGGGATGTGCGTAATCAGAGTGACAGGTAGGATGCAGTCAAGGAGGTTGGTTGCAAGTCCTTTTCTCATTACTCTGCTCTTATCTTAATGTTGCAGCCCCAGCTAACATTTGCTGACTCCTACAGATGCTGGCTTGCTTTCTTTTTGTCATTGTTATAGTTCTCTGAGGTTCTCAATAATGGTTCATTTTCTAACCTAGAGCTTTGGGGGACTGATGCTTTTGTCTGTCTAAAGCCGTGCTAAAGTATTATTGTACTTTTAGCCAAATCCCTGGGGTTACAAAGGGGAACAGAAGCTACTAAGCACTGTCATCCAGATGCTTTTATTTCACAAACATATCATTGTGGCATTGGAAGGGATCTGGGAGACAATGCCATCCAAGTCATCTCCTTTATTTTGCAGGTCAGGAACCAAGATCCAAATGGCTAAATAGTGTAACTTGGGCTACATAACAAATGACTGGAAAGAATGGAACACACACTTCTTATTTTGGGTCTTCCCCCATAACCACTATATTCCCTTTGAAATGGATGAATCAAGAGATAGTTGTTATTTGGATTAGACATATATTGTATGGCAATATTGACCTTGGTAGGTATGCTTTAATGCATTAAAAATAAAAGCCAGCCTGGGTTCCCACGCCCCCTTCGCAAGCACAGCTGGGTACAAAGGCTTGCCTCAGCTTTATTTAACTTCAAGAATAAAGGGGAGTTGCTGGAGTGAAATGGAGAAGGAGCAAAGCCATTATGAGGACGCCTTTCCTTGTTGGTCACTGCCCTAGTCAGTTGGCTTGATCCTGAAGCACCGTCCAAGCAGTCTCAACTGCTGCACCTCAGAATTGTTCCCCAGCCCCATCCTGATCAGCTGGACTTTGCTTTCAGGAGTGTCGACTCCCATGCTCTTCAGGCTGCAGGTGACCAAAGACCGCAGAGAGTCAGCACAGGCAAGGGCAGAAAGCGCACGGTGCCCAAGGCACCTGTGGCTGGAGCTGCAGTATTGGTTGTAATGGCCGTGGCTGGAGAAAGATGCAGGCAAGAGGATGGGAGGCAGCTCCTGCAGCTCTTTCTAGAAGGCAGATTATCGTTAGTTCTTCTTCCCTAAGTTCAAATCAAAAATCATGACAGAGCTGAAACTAAAAGAAAGCTCTTTATTTCTAATTTGGGTTTCTTAT